AAAAATTAAAAATTGTAACGAAACTCCGTGAGCATCGAGGTAGTTTCGAAAATTTTGACAGAACTGTAAAGAAGTTTTAAATCTTCTGAGGGCTTTAGAAAGGTACAGTGAGCTTCATGGAAGTCAAGAAAAGTTTATGGAAGTCCAGATAACTTCGAGGGAAGTCCAGAAAAATTCATGAAAGTTCAGAGATTTTTAAGGAAGTTCCGTGAACTTCAGAGCAGTTCAAAAATCTTCAAAAAAGTTCCGGGATCTTTAGGACTGTTCAAGGAACATTTGGAAAATTCCAGGTATTCTAATACTTGACTGCATCAAATAACAGTCACGTTTCAAGGTACCCTCACAAGTAACATCGCAGGTTTTATCGCGGTTTTATAGCATTCTACAACTCTAAATCATGGTCTACAGAACCCTCATAAAACCAAAATTGTTATCTACAGATATCGGTTTTAGATTAATATTCTCACTTAAATTAGTGGTTTCTATTTCCTTTGTGTTTTATAGTGTAGCGAAGAGTTTCGTTATTATCGCTTTCAGATTCTCATTTTTGAACGGAGACAACGAAACAATCGTAGCGTCATAGAACAGTGATTAGCAGTTTTGCTTATCAAGGCGGAGGCCTGGGCTCCTTAGGAAAGTTTTTTTTTGGGTCTGAAATATCGATAGCTAACAACACGAATTGATTGCTTTTTATGAATGGTACACTTTCCTGTTAGTATTTTTAAATTGCGATCTGATTGCAGATAATCTTTACCTTTGTGCAGTGTCACGTACAGGGAATTATTACGCTATATTAGAATAAATGGTACCTAGCAAGTTTTTTAAAATCTTTATTTTAGAAATTTTTAGCCAAAGGCTAGTTCATCTCTTTGTGAAGAGTGTAAGGTCTCAGAAAAGACCCTCCTACGGAGTTGTTGAACAGAGTTGCTTTCTTACTTTTAAACGTTTACAGTAAATTAATTCCTAGTTGGTTGGTTACTACGGATGGACACCCTCATGAGGGCCGAACGACTCATCCCATGTGGCGCCCCACCGGCTACTAAAGCTGTAAGGTACGTCAGCAGCGGGCGAGTTGTCTCCGAGAAGGTTCCGGATGCTCGAAGTTGTTGTTTATTAATTTATTTGATAAGGCTCAAACGAATTAACTTTACAGAGCCGAGGATTCTTGGTCACTATACAATACATCTTAAAACTATAGTCAAAAGGTACAACACAATAAACACTTTATCTTCCGCTATCCAAAAAGCCTCCTCCTCCATCAGAACTGGAGCCGCTTCCAGTGGTTTCATTGTATGGCAGTTACGCCAACGAGGGTCAGAGCGCTTTCATTGCAGCAATGGACGCAAAACGTGGTCAGCACTCACACACTCATCACTAAACGGTTGCTTTCCAAAGTCGATGACGCATCGAGCGAAAGAACTGCTGATGAAGAACAATGAGGAGGACCTCACAATGGTTGCTGCCGAGTAAACAGACGATCGCGTGGCACACATCGAGAGTGGCCTGCTTCTGTCGACAGCCGACGGAACACTGGATGCTCGAAGTGATCCCTGAGATTTTCGAACTCGAGGCAGACGCAGAGGACGTGCTCGACGGTCGCCGGAACAGTCGAATACAGTTGGCAGTGTCCAGTTCTGAGCCTTGATAGGACTCTTTGATCCGGCTGATTCCGGAACTCAGTCCACGCCTCTGTGCTTCCTTTAATCTTCCGGATAAAAGGTCCCCTGGTGCTAAACCACTGGTCGTTCCAAGCTTTCCGTATGGTTGATTTGACCCATCGGTTGATGTCTTGCAGCGGTACTTTGTCCGTGAACCTGGGGCCGGATGGTTCAGATCCAGCGAGGTGATCCGCTGTCTTGTTGCCAGGTATTCCACAGTGGCCAGGTATCCATGTGTAGACGGTGCTACTCGGGGCATACTTTACGGTAGCCTGAATCCACGGGTGTAATGGAACTGCGGAGCAGAGTTCTTGGATGGCGCTGTGAGAGTCAGTCAGGATGAGAATTGGTTAGTTCGCTGGTGATGTGGGCGCATGAAAAATAGCGGCAGCTTCTGCAGAAAAAACGGAACATTGCGGCGGTAGGCTGTTGCTAGTATACCACTTCTGGATACTCCGATGCCAACGCCCGATCTGGATCGGGAACCATCTGTGTACCGGTGTATGTTCGGCTTAGGGAGAATCAATTAGTTCTGCTACTGACCGACGCGGGGCCACGGAATTATTTCCTACCTTGAATCGGTTCTTATTTTGGCAATCAATGTTGATGCTGGAAGAGAGCCAACTCTTCTCTCCGTGCCAGTGGATGCTAGCCACCGGGGGGAGGTCGAGGAGGAAGATCCTGCCGTTGCCTGTTGTCTTGGCGACGAATGATGCGGCTTTGATGATGGTGACATTCATGATGCGGTACTTGAACGGAAGGATCTTTGCTTCCACACAGGCTGAATCGGCGGGGGTGGAAGGCAGGAGGCCAGAGATGATCTGAATGCTGCTGTTGAAGGTTGGGCCGAGAATTTCCTCTTGTTTTCCCGATGCGAGGCACGTTAGCTCGGTCCCATACAGCAGCCGGCTAGCAATGATGGCTTGCGCGACATGGAAGAGGACTGCCCGATTTTTGGATCGGTGGGGCTTCGAGATTGCTTTAATCAAGTTGATCCGGCTTTTGCAGTTCTTCTTGACCTCATGGAAGTGAGGAACAAACGATACACTCAAAGATAAATTAAATCAAAAAAGTTTAAAAAGTATGCAGATTCCCGCTTCACCTTATTGAGTCCGAGCCATGATTACTTCGGCAGTAGTCATGCATGATTAAATTCGAAATAATCTCTCCAGTTTTAAATTTTATTCTTTTTGAATATTAATTTTTTGAATATTGTAATCAAAAAATATTTAAATTCTATCAAAAAGTTCTTAAATAGACTCAAAAATGATTAGAATTTATTCAAAAAAGATAATGTTACATCTAATCAACCATGATTAAACTAGGTTAAATATCAGATGATTATTTTTTAGAAAGAGAGTATTAATTGTTAATTATTCGATATGATTAAACTGAGTTTAATGTCAAATTGATTAAATTTCAAGCAAAATGGGAATAGTTTAATTTATCAGTGTAGCGTGCGGTCGGAATTTTTGACGGGGATGGCTTGATCGGAGATCTTGATTGCAATTCCGCTGACTCTGTGCCACGATGGACAAACATGGCATCACGCTCTTCTTCGCCGAAAGCTGCAACCCTGCTGTTTCGGCCCATTTTGCGACAGCTGTAACCGTGGCTTGCGCTAGCTTCTTGGTCCGAACTGTGGTGGGCCCCGTTACCACGATGAGGACATCGTCTGCATGCACGAAGATGTGGATGTTCTTGGACAGCTGGCTGAAGACGCCGTTCATGGCAATCAGGGGGCCCCTGTTTCTTCCTGAAAGCGACTGGATTGGTTGTTACCGATTGCAACTCGAAAGGTACGGCCGGTGAGGATGTTTCGGACAAAGTGGATGATGTGTCCCTTAAGGCCCCAGCAGACGTGTCCCTTAAGGCGCCAGCTCTAGCATGGATTTGAGGTGGGAAGGCGTGCACATCTTAAAAATCAGTGAGTAACTTGCTCTAAGTTTACCATGACAGCACTGAAGTCAATTGAACGCCGATTATCAGAACAAGGGTGCATTGAATGTTCTCACTTGAACCGTGCATTTCGATCTTTACGCTGGGTTTAGACAAGGCAGGATTCAACTGGCGTTCGTTCCATTTAACTGACTTGATCAACTCACTTGAATTGAAAAAAGTTGAACCAGGCTCAACTTTTCAAGCTAAGTAAATCCAACTGAGTTGACCAACCAACTTGCCTTGTCTCAGTCCAGCTTTATTCCTCAGTCCAAATGATTTGAACGCCGAATTGATCACTCTTACTCACTTGGACTACGATTTCAACGTCCAGAAAGTTGGTCGATGTCCTCTATTATATTCTATTCTGATCTGCAAATCGTTGCCTGGATCCAGCTTTTTGGATTGCTTATACATGACCCTTCACAAATGAGGATGTTAGTAAATCATAAATGATTGACGATTTTATTCACAGAAATAATTTTTAAATCCTTTTTAAACCAATGGCATGTTGTATCTCAAATTAGATGAGCATATTACAAAAACGATCCGATATTGTTAAACTAATCGCCATCCTTTCATCAAATCAATCAATTTGCTCTTTCCAAATTGATCAATTTATACGTCCTCCGCATACGCAAGTCTACATGGCATGAATTCAAACGAATTACTCAAACTTTGATTGCACGAAAAAAACCTTCATAACCAAAACTACTTCGGTCGATGCGGGGCGAAAAAATATCAGAAACGCTAAACTTTGGCAGTGCGTTTTATTTTCCAATTTCCAACAAAAAAAAAAAAAAAAAAAAAAAACGCATCATCGATTCGATCCACCTTTTCGATGATGACGATGATGGAGGGATTTTTCCTTTCCCACTCGACGGTGCTTGGAAACACGCTGGATGCGATCCTTCTGAGGAGAACGAGCACGTATGTTCGCTCCGGTCGGTCCCGTGGACATTCCGAGGATGATGATTATTTAATTGGCGTATTCAGAATGTGTGCTTTGCATGCAGCCATCCTCCGCATCGTCGTGCGCTTCAAACCGATTCCGGGAAAAGAGGATAACGATAGAATTTTTATAGATTTTCGGAATTATATTTTGATCTCTGGCTCTTTTATACCCTCGATGAAAAGGATTTTCGCAAATTCGTTCGACGACTATTTGTTTTATTTCGATTCACGATGCGATGGGAAACGGATTCTGTTCCACTTCAATTTTGCAAGAACGAGTTCGCTGTTCGCTGGCGATCGAAATTGGCAACAGGAAACGGTTTTTCATCGTTGCGGGCATGTTTTCCGGCTTGTGTGTATTTTTTGCTTGTCCTGACGACGACAGGGGCTTATAGTGGATTCATTTTATTTGATTTTTGCGTTTTGTTCTTTCGTTGTTATTTTTTACAGATCAGGACGGCTCTTTGAAGCGGGAGGACTCACCAGTGGAGCCACATGAAAATGGCGTCGACGTAGACAACGATGACGAATTGCCCGGGATGGGTGACCTGGACGGAATGGATGGCGATCTGAACGACATGAACCGTCCGAGAAAAATCCGGAGGTGGGTTGTAAATGATCCGTCATTTTTTCAAGATGTCTATAGCAAAGTTTCCGTGCCTCCATCTTTTCTTCACAGAGCGATAGATGAAAACTAATTCGATTTTACCCTCTTCCCAAAAACAGATCCCGGACAACGTTCACTACCTTTCAACTTCATCAACTGGAACGGGCCTTCGAAAAGACGCAATATCCGGATGTGTTCACTCGGGAGGAACTCGCCATGCGACTGGATCTGAGCGAAGCGAGAGTACAGGTTGGTTTTCTGTCACGCTATCACCGAAAAAACAATAATGATGGAAATTTACGTCTGACTTCGCGATATCAATCTTCAATATATTTACATAATTGCTGAAGAAACGGACCACCTGCGTTGTGAATGCACATACTCACGGGGAGGGAGGGAGGTCAGATGTCGTATCATGATTATCAGATAGGCGACATCAAATAAAATCACATTCATAATACGATTAAAGCTGTCACCGTCGTCGTCGGTGGTGAGCGCAATTTGCCACCATGTTGGACGGCGCTTAAATTATCGGACCGGTCACCACCCGATTGGTGCCTGCCGGCCAAATATGCACTTATTGACATATTCCGAGAGCGTATTCAAAATTAAAAATTATTCAAATAACTTGACCCGGTCTGACATAATTATCCACTTTTCACGCTCGGTATGGTGGGTATCGCTGTCAGTCTAGTATCCCCTGAACAAGACCGCTCTGGAGACTTCCTCAGTGGGTGAGTTGAACGAGACAACCGCCGGGGAGCCCACCCTCGATATAACAAGTCCGAAAGCTAATTAACTTTTCTACGATTTTCCCTCCGGAGCTTGAACGGACCAGTTAATCGTTGCGTAATTGTGTGGCCCCTTTCGCTCGGAATGGACGGTGACTTGATAGGATCGATTAGGGGATGTGTTTGCTTAGGGATGATGGGAAATCAAACAGAGCAGTCGATAATATGGACGGACGGAACCAATCTCTACTGTGTTCTGCCTTCCGTGATGTGTGTACCTAATACGATATTATTATATTAAAAGCAGATTATGGCTAGTTTTGTTTGTGTATCTTGATTTTTCCTCTTTCACTGGGTGGCCCTCAACCCGAGTCGGAAAGGTTTCTGCTTGTGACGTGAGGGTGGAGGGTCGTTAAGGGGGGGCAACTTTCTATTATTGCTTCCAGTCGGGTGAGTTTTGCCCTTTTCGATGGAGGGCCGGGTTCTTGGATGATAATCGATTGGTTAGCTGGAATACCACGGGGAGACGATGCAAAATTTGGCGATGCCGGAGGCTTTCGGCTAAACAGGTTGACGTGCGTGGTCGTTAATTGAATATATTTGTCAATTTGCAGTTGTTTGGAAAACTGGTTGATGTAAACTGGTGTTTGCAATTTCAACCGATCGCTATACATTGGCATGATTTGATAATAGCCCATTCGCCTCGCATGATGTGGTAACTTGCAATATGGTGAATGCATTCGGTAACGTATCGTGTTATGTTACGTGACTGACAATGATTGAGGCTTTGTTTACAGCAACTGGCCCTAATGAAGATTCCAACATCTGGATCGGAACGTTGGTGATGGTATGACTATAATCAGCATCTTAAAACTTCCCGGAACTTCTAAGGACTGGTCTGGCGTTTTCGTTCCTTCTTGAAGTTCCCTAATTTTTCATAATGTTCTCGGAACTTCTCTATCGTGCCATTAATTTTTCTGATATTTATGCAACTGACCTTGCAATGTTCTTGGAGTTTATGAATTATTCTTCAAATTCTCGGAATGTTACATAATTCCTAAGAACTTCTTGAAAGTTCGTGCAATTTATTAATGCAAGCCGCTCTTAAGTTCTCTGAAATTCCTCTAAGTACTAGGAATATCACTGAAAGTAATGAAACGTCCTCTGTCTCCGTAATTTCCTTTAAGTTAATTGAACTACCCTTTCTTTAATATTAATTTATTTGATAAGGCTCAAACGAATTGACTTTACAGAGCCGAGGATCCTTGATCACTATAAAAAAAAACATCTTAAAACTATAGTCAATAGGTACAACACACCAAACAGTTTATCTTCCGCTATCCAATAAGCATCTCAATCAGAACGGGATCCGCTTTAATTTTTTTTTTTTTTATTTATTTATTTATTAATTTATTTATTTATTTATTCATCTGACTTTTTGTTGTCTTAATGTATTTGATCGGGAAAAGCCAATTGAAATGGCGTAAAAACCCCTTATCTTTTCACAGTACAGTACAAACATTACAAATCAAGCAAGCAATGGAATATTACTCACCTTTCACAATAACGAATCTCACTCGATCCATTAATGCAATTCAGTCAGTCTACGCTTAAATGTTGCCACAGTAGAGTTGAAGTCGAAGAGGATGTAGACTTCGTTGAACCTAGTCGACATAAAGCGGACAGGATCATGAAGGCCGTACAAGGAGTTGCGGGACTCAAGCAGCAAAAAGTTCCGTTGGCGAAGTAATCGTTCAGGAACGTAAAGGTTAAGTTGACCTAGTAACTCCGGTGCGTCAGTTTCTCCTGTGAGAAGTTTAGCTACAAACACCGCTTGGGCATCATTCAGTCTCTGCTCAAGCGTCTGCAGTCCCAATAATCTGCATCGATCTCCATATTGTGGTAGGTTTAACGGATCTCGCCATGGAAGGCGTCGTAGGGTATATCTCACAAATTTTCAGAATAGATTGCATCAGTGCGCAGTACAGAGACCGGAGGCAGAGAGGATCGGTAAATTCGCAGGATATTGTGAACATAAATCCCAGCTGTCGTTTGGCTCTACAGATAAAATCGTTGTAGTGCGATCGGAAGGTCAGCGCTGAATCCAGGATGACACCAAGATCACGAACTTGAAGACAACGCTCAAGGGACTGACCATTAATTGAATAATCATACGTAATCGGGCTGAGCTTGCGATGAAACGATATAACGTAACATTTGTGGATGCTCAACGTCAGCATGTTCCGGGTGCACCAATCAGCAAAACTATTCAGCAGCAATTGTAGAGCATAGCAGTCTTCGATACCTTTAATGATCATGTATATTTTGACGTCATCAGCATAAAACACACGGCAGCCAGAAGGTAGTACGAGAGAAAGCTCGTTGATTAAGAGTGAGAATAACAAAGGACCCAGATTGCTACGCCAGATAAGTTTGCAAATTGTCCCGAAGATTCAAATCCGATATTAACGGTGAGGCTACGATCCGTAAGGTATGATCCAAACCAGCTAACAAGATCCGCAGAGACACCAATTCTTCCTAGACGTTTCAGTAATATTCCGTGGTCAACTCTATCGAAAGCTGATTTCAAATCAGTGTATGCGGTGTCGATCTGAGCACCGGCATCAATGTTGCGTATGCAAAACGAAGTAAACTGGACGAGATTGGTAGATATTGATCTTTTGGGGTAGAAACCGTGCTGATCAGTAGAAATATAATTCTTGCAGGAGTCGAAAAGTACATCATTTATTATGATTTCGAAAACCTTCGAACAAGCACACAACGAAGTTATTCCTCTGTAATTCTCGATGTTCTGTCGATCCCCCTTTTTAAACACGGGGAACATGACCAATCTTTTCCAGCTTGTGGAAAAACTACGCTTCCGTAATGATATGTTGAAAAGTGTCGTAAGAGGGAAAATCAACTCTTCGCCGCATTTTTTCAGGATGCATGACGGTATGCCATCTGGACTGGACACAGAGTATTTCAATTTGTTTATTGCGGAGTCCACCTGATTTGACGTGATGACAAAGCTTCTCAGAGAACAGACAGAGAACATTTGTTTCATTGTATGGCAGTATCGCCAACGGGGGGCAGAGCGCTTCCATGGCAGCAATTGATGCAAAACGTGGTCAGAATTTGCACACACATCACTAAACGGTTGCTTTCCAAAATTGACGATGCATCGACCAAAAGAACTGCTCATGAAGAACAGTGAGAAAGGCCACACAATGGTTGCTGCCTAGTAAACAGACGATCGCTTGACGCACATAGAGAGTGGCCTGCTTCTGTCGACAGCCGAATGAATACTCCGAAATTGATCTGGACTTCTGCGGTGTTTTTTTTTTATATATCAGACTTATAATCGGGTTCGACTCGTTGCATTCGAGTTAGATTTTCCCTTTTCGAGTGTTTTCTTAGACCGGGATCATAATTATTTTGAAAGCTTGAAATCTTAGCAACTGTTCAAAGTTTTAGAATTTGAAATGCTATTTACCAAATTTTGAATCTTGAATTATCCATTTCGAAATTATCTAGGTAGTTCATTTCTAAAGTTCCACAATATTACTCTTCATATGAGAGTTTATCAAATATTTCCTTCTAACCGTACCAAGATTACTTCAGAGTTGCTTTCAGAATCCTCCAAAATAATTCTAAGATTCTCTCTGGCATTTTGACAATTTGAATTTCCTATAACAGCTTTAACAATTCTCTACATACCACTTTAGGAATCCCCCCTATGAAACTTTTAGAATTCACACACATTCAAAACAATTTCGATATTTTCCACAGTTCTCGTTATATAATTTAAATAAATATATAATTTTTCTAGTTCCTAAGAATTACCTTGGGGTTTATTTCAGAATTGTGTTGGAAATCTAAGCACAACTATTTAGGAATTTTCTGGATTTTTTCAGTAAATTTCCTGGCTCTACATTCTCACACCATCCTCCCAGAAATCCGTTTGAATTATGTTAAGGTTTTGTTTTAAATTTATCAATTATTTTGCTTGCAATTTCCTTCCATTTCGCTTTTGAATTACTTTGAAAACAACGTATTTTTATTTCACAACTACACAGCAGAAAATTAATTTTGATATCACATCAAAGTGGATGCACTTCACTCCTGTCAAAAATATGGTGTAATATTACTTGCCAAAAAGGACAAAATTATCATTAATACAGTGCATGAACTGAAATTAAGCTGCTCTTACTGCATTTGTTTATTTTTGTGAGTATAAAAATTACATGAGATGTTCGACATGATTGAACTGCATTCTCTTGGATGTAATATTAAAATTTATTTTTTGCTATGTAGAGGCTGCATTCCAACAGGTCAAAAGTTATCCGAAAAAATAACCTATGCCCCAAGCAACAATTTATGTTTCATTATGATCTTGTAGACCATGATTTAGGCTTGAATAATGCTTTAAACCTAGATATATGAAACAAGTGATGTTGCTTAGCATATTTGACTAAATTTAGCTGTTTCTATTAAAGCGGGAAAACTATGTTAGAC